TGTCGTTTGTAGATTTCCCTATCATTTTGACGTCGCCAAAACGGACACGGTCTTCCGGCTTGGATAACTGCGAACACTGATTGCATTTGAAAACTCGTTCGAACAATATGGCAACGGCCTCGTGAGAAGGCAAAAGCACCGATAGTTCTTTGGTGGTCTGCGCCCTGTCGAGTTTGTCGCTGAACCGTTCCAGATGAACGTAGAACATCCACAATGTCTCCATAAAACCGGGCAGTAAATTCTTTATGTTTCCCGAAGCGGCCAGCATTTTCGTAGCTTCGGTTTGGAATGAAATGTCTTTTAGTAAATCACCATTGTCGATTATTGTATTTTCGCCGTCGTCCGACAAAAATAATCCTCTCGTTGTGTTCAAGTATAACAAGCAAACAAGCATGTGGCTACATTGAATGCGTCTATACTCGTTGTTTATGTGAACAGTTAGGTCTCCGAGTGGTATTTCCGTTTCCGGTCTGTTCAGACCGATGAAAGAACGACATAGTTGCAACGACTTCAGTTGACCGATTAAATCCGTTTTGTCGCCACGCGCAGCCATAATTCGAGATGGCCAAAAACAAGTGAAGAAAATTGATACCGACAATATTATTTTAATTAAAACCATTATTTCGGCAACCGTTTTATTATATCATAATATATTATAAAACTATAAACTATATGAAACGAGCAAGAAATAACTGTTGTTCTACTAGCGACGACGTTGTTTGCAAAAGGCTTTGCATTCTGTTCATTGTTCTGTTGACGGCAAAATGTGTTTTTCAAAATCTATTTGCTTTGTTCTTTACATTTTAGGTCGGCAGCTTTTCTATTTGCTATAACATGAGTGTAGTCGCGCTTGTACAATTTACAGCAGTACTAAAGGTGCATAAAACCTGTATCAAATATTTATGCATTGACTGTACATTAAATCTTGATTTAATAATAGGCGGCAATAAAATAAAATAAATAAAAACAATATATACACACAAAACGTATGAAAAGATAACAATTTAAGTAAAAAAATAAGTACAAATATTTTGTTTATTCTATTTATTTTAGTTAGTATACATTTTTTCGCTGTTTTGTATAATATATTTAAAGTATGACGTTTGCCATTTTAGTTTAACCATTTAAATAATGGTTTTCAAAAAAAAAAAAAAAATGTTCTATTCGTTTTAATAGTTATAATCATACAAAATTATTATTTTTAAAAATGTAAAAATTACCTCCGTAAAGGTTTTCGAAAATGTGGTTAATAGTTATAACCGTAGTTTATTTATTCTACATTGTTTATTTGTTTTTTTTTTTTGTAGAAAAGCACGAATTGCATTAATATAAAAAAACATATGATATACTTAAGTATTTTATCCCTGCATTACTAACATTATTTGTTCGTAAGTTTCTGTTTGTAACAATAACTACAGTTAAATAAATATACTCGTCAGATAACGCACATGTATTTCTAATGTGACGCAAGACAAAAAAAATTGCGGTTTTGAGTTAACACCGTAGTGAGAATTGGGTTAACATTCCTTTAATATAAATCATATTTTTTTATTTTTTGTATAAAATAAGTAATAAATAATATATTATATAAAACGTTCGTACCTTATATCCAATTTCTCTATCTGTTTTAAGGCCCCTGGATACCGACCGTATCCGTTTTTCAGCCAAAACACATAATTTTTTGTCCATCGCACAGGCCGAACCAGTGGTCCGATAAGCAATCTGAAAACAGTTATGAATTTGACATGAAGTTTACTTGAGATCGGCCAGAGTATTTTTTAAAAATTTTCATTTTAACCTTTTCCAAATTTTATTTTAAAATTTGAAATTTTATAAGATGTTCAAACGTGATCAATGCGTAGTAGGGGAATAAGATATCAAAAAAGTACGCTTACTGATCGCAAGTAAACTTCATGACGAATTCAAATCTGTTTCTGGATTACTTATCAAATCACTGGTGCAGCCTGTGCGGTGGACAAAAAATGTACTACTATATTAACTAAAATGGCTTTTACTCACAGACAAAATGATTTAAATTAAAAATATTACCACGAAGCTTAAACAAATTAACCGGTTAATTAATTGACATGGTCGAAATTTATTAAAACCACTTTTTTCTTAATTATATTGCCTATACAAAACTCCTTAAAAAATGGTCTGTATCCAGGGGCCTTAAAATGAAAATGCCATCATACAATATACAGTAAATCATGATGATAGTTGAAATTTGCAGAACCGAATATAAATATTTATTTAAATCTTTCAGATCATCGTAATACATCTTGTATCATTAAAAGTATAGAAATTGACGAACGAGGAATGTAATAAAACTGTCACGTATTCGACATTATAATTATTATTTGATTTTCGACGAATATCATTCTAAAATATAAACATAAAGGACTTTCGTTATTCTCTAAAACTCTTTTTATTCACAAATTCTGATTACAAATGAAGCGTGTAAATTGTTACTACTTACTTATAATATTTAAAAGAAAACAGAAATTAAAATAGAATACATTTTTTTGTAATTATAGTAAGCCTTAGTGTTTTAAGTTATGCCTTATCATCTTATCATTTGTAAATTATTCTGCCTAACACCTCTCCGTTTGTAATTATCTTTTAAATTCCAATCAATTTTTTTTTTTAAATATCTCATCAGGTTTTAGACTACAAATATTTTATACTTATAAATAAAAAAGTGTAGACGGGCAAAGTAAAGGTTATGAAGAAATCGGGTCAGTGGTTAATTATCAAACATCGTGTTAAAAACGTTCAGAATTTAATTTCCTACATAAAACAGTTGTATAGGTTTTTGTGTAGTAGGTATTATTATTTTTGTCCCGTTATTCGATTTTTATTGATTTCTCTGATATAAATGATATGCAACGCTAATAAAGAAAATATGTAATGCAATATTGTCTCAAAATAACATACAAAATTATGGATCCAAAAGGGTTATCCGTAAAATCGTACATGAATTATTTTCCAATCTTATTTAGCGCCGTCTCGAGTTTTTACCCGCCTGCATGCAAGTACATTGTATTATCAGTTTAACGCCTCCACTGTCTTATGTTTCATGTAATTATGTCTTATAATTATTAACCTTATTAATACTATTTGTACAACTTGTAAACACGGTAAAACATATATTTTTTAATTTATCGCAACAGTACTTATTTATAGTTGTATAAGTGATTTATTTCACCATCATTTTCACTTTTTGGCTGTCTTGTGGAAATTATTTATTGATGAAAAAACCCTTCTCGCCCCCCCCCCCCCAAACAATTGAAGAGTAAATTTAATGTTTTAAAGAAAATGCGTAGAGAGACGTTTATGGTCAATTTTTGGTCATAAAATAAAATAAAAAACTGTTTTTGTCCCGAACACGGTCGTATAAAAAAAAAAAGAATTCAAAATGTCCATCTCCGCGGGTCGTCGTTGTATCTTCGTGTTATACCGCTGATCGTCGTCGACGTGGGTTGTTTATTGGTTTATTTAAATATAAATAAATCTATATAAATATTGTACTCACGTAAAGGGTACACGCGTATGTTTATAAGTCTTAAATATATATATATATATATTTTTTTTTTTATTATCAAACGGCAGCGAGACATCGAGAAATCATTGCCAGTGTTATAAATCTATTTGCGTCCGGCTGACCATAACATAACTGGGACCGCTTGGAATAATAACGCCTAGGTAAAAATCATGTGATCCTGCGAATAAATTATTCATTATAGGACTTTGTTTATCATAAAACCAACAGTCATCCGATTGGGTTTAGTTTTTTGTAATCACAGTGTTTTAACAGATTTTTCTAATTGGTGGGGGTGGGGGAACACAAGCAAAACTCATCATTATTTCATGTAGATGAGAAGGTTAAACATTTTGGCATGACCGTTTATTGGCGAAGAAAATCCCCCCTTCCTTTTTTTTTTACCCTTAAGTGAATATTCTCATTCGTAAACACCGTAAACAAATAGGTACTTTTAAATATTTTCCCTACAGTAAACCATTCAACCTATTTATTTGAAATTTGACATTTACTAGTGTTTCTTAAGGAGTACGTTTCTTTTACGAACAAAAAATATAAAACACAAACATTTTCGTACAAACCGTTTTTTTAAACGTTTAGGGATTTGAACGATTGAAAATGACTGAAATTAACAACAAACGTTTACTTTTTTGTTAATGAAGCTTTTATAGTTTGACAGTAGTAATGTATTTACTTTTTTCTATAAAACTAATCGTAGTATTCTAATAACTGCAATTTCTCGAGTAGATTTGCAACAATATAATTTGAATTCGTTGGGATATGACAAGTTTTTACCTTTGTTTTGTTCTAAACCGATCGTGGAAAAAATAATTAACAAAACGATTAATTAGCAATAATTTAGCTTTAACAACTGAAAAAAGGGGAGATTAACAATGGTAATATTCTGACATGTACGATAATTAAAACACAAGATTTGTATGATATTAAATAGTAAGAAAAAAAAACATTTGTACGGTCGTTTAAATAACAAAATTGTCAGATTCTGTGATGTTTGCACAATTCTTTGATTTTCTACTGAAAAACACGCGGCGTCGTATATAGTAATAGAAATTTTAGCATTATAATATGAACATTTCTAAAACGTCCTTCGTAAAAAAAAATAAAATTAAATATATTAGAAAAGCTCGACGCCCAAATCCTCTTTTCACACCGTCATTACGCCACTTTAGATGGTTCGAACGTGGATTTACCTGTGTTGAAGTAGAGCAGCACACAAGACGTAGGTACACGGGTCGAGTTCCAGAACAAAATATGAATTTCTCGTCCAAGACCCAAATCACCTGCGGCGTTAACGACGTTTCTTATCAGTTATCACTTATCAGTACCTGACAACAGAGACCAGACTGCAGCCCCCGCTGATCGAGTCACGGTATCGGCGGTGACGACGACCGCGGGGTAACCGGACTACACGCGGACCAGACGGTTGTGCAATGGCGGCCAGTCGTTTACTCGTCCGGTATGGCGTCGGTTGTGTCGGTCGTACGGCCCAACGCCGGTTATTATGTGCAACGTGCGCGCGCGTCCGTTTAATCATGTTTCCCGACTCGTTGTCATAATTAAACCGGATTAATATTTTTATAAAATTTATTCACCTATTTACTGTTCAGATTCAATTAAATTTCCGCCGCGAACGACAACGATGCGGCCACGGCGGTGGTGTTGCTGGTGGACGTTTGTAGTGGCCGGCAGTTTGCTGGTGGCCGGCGACCACCTGGGCAGAGCGGCCGCGTCCAACACGTTTATAGACGAAAACACCAATCTGGCCAGTGATTGTGAGTACCTGTTTTTTTTAAATTTATTTTTTTATATCCAGTCAAACCGAAACTAGAGCAAAATATACCTAATTAAAGTGTATAATCGACATTAGAATAACATGTATTGAATTTTACTCTTAATGACACAATCTGTACATTTTTTTTTTTTTACAATACGTATTATTGCTGACAATGTAATAGATAGCTTGAACGACTCGTGTGGAGAAACTATACCCATTGGTTGTACTCGGTAGAATAATATTATTAAATAATTTGATTTGCCACGAATCTAATTTAACATAATATTAAATGCTCCATTTGGTTTTTTATCCTCGATTTCGAGGCATTTTTTATTTAATATTGTATTATATTATCAGAAAATTATTATTATGATGGCCATTGCGAAAAATATACTTTAGCATGGTATTTTGTAATTCAATTTTAAAATTCCGACCGCATTAATTATTATCCACCGTTATTTTTATCATGTTGTAAAATTAATGTAAAACCCTGTTCGATTGTGCTATCGAAAACTGTCCTATCGTCGATTCAAAGCGAAGTATCACATTTTGTTAATTTTGTTTTGTGTAATTTAAATCTAATTATGGATTTTCAATATTGTTCGTCCACAAAATACCGCTTGTATGTTATTATGTTATTATTATTGTTATTAATAATAATAATAATAAAATAACAGCTTTAGCGCCACACAATTTATAGAGATAAAATAGCAAATTGATGTACAGAGAATTAATGTATTATTTTACCCGGTAAAATTAGTCCTTCTAACGAACAATATAAAATAGAAATGACGTCGTATAATATTTCAATTTGTGATTCGTAGAATAAAATCGCTTTTTTATAGACATAAAAGTATTGATTTTCATTATAATGTAATTTTAGTTGTGTATTGATTTGCGAATTAAACGAACTGTAATCAACAACAGCGCTAATATAATATTATGTTATTCATAAAAATATGTTTATTCAATTTTCCAACCGAATGCACAAAGGGTTCACCGTTGAACTTTGAGCCAGTTAACATAAAATAATAAATTATGATTCTTTTCTGTATATGCCCCGTCGGTGTCAATAATTTTTCAATTTCTTAAAAAAAAAAAAATCTCGATTTGAATACTAAGTATTTATGTCATTACATGATATAATGTCAATCTCGTGTTTCACCGATAACAAAAAAATTAAAAAACACCAACCAAACGTTTTGTCCTGTTTAGGACGTCGTCAATTCGAATAGTTGATAAAGAACAAAAAAAAAAAACAGATTTAAAAACGAGCATCGAAAAAGCTTTAATAGCTGACGTCGGCAAATACTGAAATAAGTGTAAACAATTCTGATAAAATATCATAATTCATTATATTATATGTTTATGTAGTAGTGATCGAAGTATGTTGAATTTTGCAAATGGCCAACAATTTAGTACGGTGCAATTTTGAATTCTCACAGTCCATTATTAGTAGGTGGTCAAGTGGTTTCCATATATTAATTTAATATTTTTTAAAAAAATTAGTAATCTTACATTTTAGCTACGATGCGGAGCCTGAGAAGGTATTGTTTTTACAATGATGTGTTTTTTTATTTATATATATATTTTTTATTTTTTTTTTGGTGGACTTACGATATCTCGTAACCCGCTGAACCGATTTCTTTGTGTAGCAACTCTGTAGATCAGAAATCATACCTGGAGGTAGCTAATAAGCCAAAAATTAAAAAAAGTCAGTTCTTTATTTCACTTTTTCAAGCAAAGTTTTAGAGATAGATCTGAATACTAGACCGAAGGTAGATCTAAAATGGAACTATAACATACTCGTGTACAATTTTCTCTAAAATCTGTAGTAAAACTTTTTTTTTTTTTTAAGGAAAAACACCAAAAATAGGGTAAATTTACACTTTGGCCGTAGTCAGTTTCTAGGTTGCTATGTGTGAGTGAATCAACAGTCAACAGGTTATGAAAATATTTTTATGATATTGTTAATTACGATGGGTAACTATGACAGTACATTTTTATAGACAGATGATCAACCCTAATCGTATCTACCCTGCACAAGACTAAATATTAAATTTTAAGTACATTATTGCTGGTCCCGCGATATCTTCTAAACCGCTATAACTGATTTGACATACTATCCACAAATTCGCATCGAAGCGCTTATTTAAAAGTGATTATATCACTTTTAGTTATAAAAAAATCTGTAGACTTGTGACCTCTCCGTCCCCACTTATGCCCCGACCCCACTGTACTGGCTTTTTTTTTTTGCCATTAAATCCGTAAAAACAACAATTTGTTTATTCTATACTTTTATTTGTGTATAAAAATGATTTAAATAAATACATTTTCTCTTCTACTTTTGTCATTTAATAAAAAAAAAAATCCTGATCGAGTTCTCTTCTACATTTGTCTTACATATCAATCAATGAAAGTCGACTATTATTCAAATTTAAAAACGTATACCCATATGAAAAATGTAATACCTACTATTGTATTTTACTGTTTTTATTCACTTTTTTGCATGCAACATTTTCGCTTTTAACACTTTTTAATGTCTCTCGGGTACTTGTAACAAAAACCAGTATGTACATTTAACGTAAAGATAGGTATTATTTACTCATTCTTTTATACTCGCTGTACATTTTCCCAAGTAAAACAAAATAATTAATTTTAATTTTATTTTTAATAATGGTTGTATCTTAAAAGGCATCTAAGGTTTTTAATAACTTAGTTATTGTTTTTTAAAGTTAAATTAGAATATATAATTTTATGGTGTATTTTAAAATTAAAATAATTTATATTGTAAAAACAAGATTATGTTGAAACAATTAAAATATAATAAATAAAAAAAAAATAATTAAAATATACATTTTTATGCCAATATCCAGAAAATATCACCTATAGTTAAACCAATTAATTCTAATTTTTTTAATTAAAATTTAAAAAATATATATATTTAAAAAGGTACATTTTTACTAAAAAACCAGCGCGTTATTGCGTATACTTGTTAACTTATTCAAGAATAATAAATTCCAACAAAAAAAAACCATCGTGGGATTATATACGCCAGTATGCTTCTATTGAATGCACTTAAGTAATTGATTGATTATGCCCAAAAATATGAAGTTGAAAACAATCTCTCCGACAAACTTTACAAAGCTTAGTTGGTATTTATTTATACTTACTTAAAAATGTTAAAACTAAAAAGTATAAGTATAAATATCATTTTTCTTTTAAGAATTGAAAACTATTTTAAACGTCTCTGGATTTAAAAAAAAAATGCTGGTGTTTAATTTATGATCATTCTAGCAGGAGTGAAAAACAAAGTGATGTATGTTTTAACAAATTGTGTTTTTTGAAAAAAGTTAGTTTTCGAAAAATTATAGATGTTATCGCGTTTTATATTATTTTGTGATACAAAGTAATTTATTGTCATAGTATAAAAATAGTAGAATTCATGACCGGTTCAATTTAATGTATTGTACGAATTATTCGCTTTATGCGCAGATCTACACAATATAATAACAATAAAGCTCCCTTTCTTATCTGTAAAATGGAATAACAATAGAAATAAAAAGTTCTATGCTATATACCCGATCAGTGACTGGTGACTGGTGTACAAGCCAAAAATTGTCATGTAGAATATCCAAACCACAGTTGAAAAATCTTATAAATTATTCAACGGCAATAATTCCACTGTAATTTATTCGTTTAAATGTACCTAACCCGTTTTTTGGTGACTCTCCTCAATTGGTGTGTTTTTAAAACTACCTTAGTGTGCTTATAAAAATCTTTTTTTTTTTTTATTGAATTTTATCATATTAATAAAAAAAAAATCTCTTATAAATAACCCTAATAAAAGACCTTTGAAATATTGAATTTATTATTTTCTTGAGCATCAAATTTTAATTTTTTTGTTGCCTAAACTAAAAGTTTTTGAGTGGAGAAATATGAGCATAATTATGTTTAGTTCTTATATTATAATAATATTTATTAACTCTTCTTTGTTAATATTTTAACAAATTAATAATTGTAATGCGTGTTACGTTGCCGCCCAATAAGTGCTGCACTTGTCGTTAAAACATGTTTTCATTTTTAAACGATTTCTGACTACCTGTTGATTATCACCAAATTCGGAAGATACTATTGAACTTGACATTTATTTAACTCCCTGGCCTTTTGAAAACGTTATAACGCATATAGCGTCTATTTATTAGAGAGTTAGGTAATTTACAGGAAAAACTTAAGTTAAAGCCAAAACTATTGTTGAAAATTGGGTAATTAATGTCTTTACGGGGTTGTATAAAACTCAAAAAACAAAATACTAAAACCCCTATTCATAGTGTATCAGATAATTCCTATAGAGGTCATTTCCTAAGCCGTATATTTTACTCTCTACTGGTAGTTTAATGATAATAATAAAAAAAATATAATAGTATTTATTAAAAACTATTGGCATTTTAATATAGTCTCTTGCTTGTGAAACTCCTTACTTAAATCACTATGTACGCCTTTAAAGAAGTGTACATCGCTATCATCGCTGCTGTTGGTAGTAATTGACAATATTCGATGGCGATCCGTCTCGTTTTTAATTAAATAACAATTAACGTTGAACGTTTGGATGCACACGAGCCTCCGTCCAGTAGCCATTAGGGTCCGGTGATTTTAATTTAATTCCGCCTTCGCTGAGGACTGGGATAACGGGATTTCACTGTTGATGTCATTGTGTACTGTATGTGTGCTTGCGGTGGGAGCAGGATGACACGGCAGTCATCCGATGCAGTTATTGGTTTACGGGTAAATTCACCCTCTCCTCTTCTCATCCGATGTACACAGCAAAAGGGGAAGGTCAGACCAACATATACCTACTATATCTGTATACCGACGTGTCTCTGTGTGTATACACAAGTGATATACCCTGTCACGGACGAACCCCCCCCCCCCCGAAAACTCCATTTATTGCTCTTGACGTATATGTATACACTTGTGTGAGTGCGGTTCTGAGGGAGT